TTAATACTAATTTTCACCCAATACAAGCACAAGAGCCACTCAAGCTACAGTGATATTGAATGAGGTTGTTGTATGAGCACAAGAGGTTGTAAGGTGTGCACTTTTGAGGATATGTAGAAAAGCAATGGTTAACCTTAAAGAAATTAAGATTGTAGAGATACGAAAACCATCCTCTAGGGAGTCTGTTCTAGAAAGTAATGTTGAGATTTCAATGATATTTGTGTGCTGAAAAAACAAAAAAAAAACGAAAACTTTTGCAGGTTAATTTTACTGACGAATATATTCTTCATATTCTATTCATTTCTTACTAAATACAAATGAAGTTGATATACATCTGATGAAGGCCGGAGGGTACAATGGCTGAAATGTTGTGATAACAACAACAAAGATGAGGGCAATAATTCGAATGTAAATAATAACTCCTCATCCCAGATATTCAGACAGAAATCTATTTTGTTTTACTTTTGTAACTTGACTCTTACCAGGAATTTTCCTACTGTCAATCTAGTATATAATAAGTAGAATATATTTCTGGGGAAATAGTCTTACATGTAATGGTTACAATCTGACAGAAAAGAGGTAAACACCCTCTTTATCTAGAATGAGCAAAAAATTTTCAGTCATCTTTAACCTTTGTGCCTGCAAAAAAAATCAATGTGTCAAAAGGATATTTTTTTGTCTTGAAACTGCTATTTCAACTACCTTCACTCCTCAACAATGTTTGTTTTAAAAAGTAATGATTAGAATTGTAATAAAACCTAAACATATGATGCAAGTGAATTTTATATATTTTTGTCCTTGAGAATTTACAACAAAAATATTAAACTATTTATTCATTAAATTGTTTATTTAGAAGAATAATTTTATATTTAAACATTCTGAAAACTAATAAAATTGTATTAAAACTAATACAATATTTATCAGTAATTTATAAGGAAATAAATATGAAAACATTTTTATTTATAAACATTATTAAAATATGTGAACCAAGGAAAAGGAAATCCTTATTTACCATTATATAAAGTTTGAATTAATTTGCAATTAGTTCTTGTTTTGCCAACCATTCCAATAAACAATGTAATAATACTTATACATTTTCTTTGTTCTTGAGAATTGACAAACAAAAATAATAAATTTACTTTCATGTGTTTAGGTTTTTAAAATGATAAAAATTGTAAAGGAGTGAAGGTAGTTAAAATAATAGCAGTGTCAAGGGAAAAGCCATCCTTTTGAAACTGTTTTTTTGTGGGTGTGAAGGTTTTCTTCTGCTAAAACCTTCTCCTGAGTATAATAAGTATGCTAATGTTACTCAATGACCTTGAATAAACACTAGAGACCAGAAATAAAGAATAAGAATTCAGAGCAAATAAAGAATAAGTTTTTATTTGTAAAATCACCAGGAAGTATAAATATAACAACACGACTTGCATTATGACTTAAAATATTCAACTTTTGGGCTGAACCACTCCTTGTAATGATGTTTATGACTGAAAATAATAAAGAGCATGATCTTTGTGGCAATAAAACTTTTTCTTCTCAATTTTTAGATTCTGTATTAAAATATAAATATAGGACTGTTCTGAAAGTATCCAGCCAATCTGGATATCATGACAACTGGATATGCAGCCTTGATATAATTTGGCATCCAATCAGAGGAGAACTTATTGTGCATGCATGAACTAACACCCATAGGGTTACTTTATCAGCAGTGAGACACCATTGAATCTGTGTGATGGTTGCATTCATAATGAATTTACATTAAGTTTTCTTTCAACTTTGTCTGGAAAATATTTGAAAGGTTAAGGGAATCATTCAATGAGTGGGGTCTGGATAATATTTTGGTAAAAAGAGGTACTTTCACTTTATCCTGGATGAACAAGGATTTTTCTTATGTCAAAAACTTCCCCTTGGGTATAAGTATGTATGCTAAATTTGAGAGTACATAAACTTAGTGTTAACAAGAAAATCTAATTCCTTGACATATTAAAAAAAAATGTCAATGTTTAACCTTTGTGTCTACAAAAAATTTGTAAAAAGGATGGTTATTGCCTTGACACCATTATTACTGTATACACTTTTGATTCCCTGAACAATGTTTATTTTCAAGATTATAAAAATGCCTGAACCAAGTACAATGTGATATTTATTACTTACCTTTTATAATGATTTATTATTTACCACTTTATAAAGAAATAAACATAAATCTTTTTTTCCTATCTTTCTTTCCTATCTTTCTTTCCTATCATACAAATTTTCAATATATTTAAACCAATTTCAATGCAATATTTATTATTTACCATTTTATAAATAACTATGGAAACAATTTTTTTATTTACTTTAATAGTGTTTCATATCTTTGTTTTAATAAAACACATTTTCATGTTTTATTAAAATTCTAATCATCACTTTTTAAAAGAAATAAATATTGTCAAATATATAGGTGTCAAGGGAATAACCATCTTTTTTTTTTTTCATTTTGACACAGTTTTTTTTGCAAGTACAAAGGCTAAACATTACCAAAAAAAATTAAATCTAGGACACTTCATCTGAAAAATATTTATCAATGAACCAACTACATTATTGATAACCAAATAAGATTATCCTTACAGAAATAATTTCCACCAACAGGGCTGGTATGTACTACTCTGATTAGGGGCACTGGGCAGTGCTTTGTCACTCTTACTACCATCAACATTTGCTTTTTTTTTTTTTTTTTTTAACCTACATTTATGTGTTACAAATTAAACTAAGCATAACTGACTATGAAAGGATTAAACATTTTTCCAGATTTTGACATCATTCTGGGTTCTTTGTTTTTATCTGTCCAAATCCATGAATTTGTGTTGATCATGTTAAGTCTTGAAAAATACTATATGAAATTCACTATTTTTTTATCCATAAATGTATTAAAATTATTCAACTTCAAGTTCAAAAAAATCTCAAGTTGATGTTAAAAATTGCCACAAAATATAGCTTATTCCATCTTAAATAAATCAGCAATTATGGCATGTTTCTAATTTGTATTCAGATGCACTGTATTTTTCAATTTTTCTACTTAAATTGTTCATCTATATTGCATATGATTCATTATTGTACATAATTAGGTTACAATAAAATTTGTATTTTATATGAATACTACCTTATGAAAAGTGAGATGTAGTAGAATGGGGGACACGAGACACTTGCACCAGTCCTGGGCACCAATACTAAAAAGATGACATTTTTTACGACACCAAAATGAATACAAATGATAAAGACAAATTTGCTTTGTGATGCATCATAAAACCTTTCACCCTAGAAAACATGTAAAACTTACTATATCCTATAGAAAATTAAAATCTGCCAACCTTGTGATTACCAATAACAACATGCCAATGAAATCCAAACTTTAGGTCTCCAATGTAATCTATGAATTCCATTGTCCAGTGAAAGGGTGTGAAAGATAAAGCTATAAATGAATACATTGGTCACATGACAAGCTCTTTAGGTAGATGCCTAGCCACCTGAGTGATTTTAGTTTGATAAAGAAGCACTTAAACACTCTTACACAACTCCCCCCCCCACCTGCACTCATATAAATTATCTTTGTAGACAATGCTGTCATTTTGAAAACTTTTTTTTTTTTTAAATTTGTATCACTCCATGCAAAACAGTAAAGCCACTAAGATACAAGGGGTTAAAGGGCGTGGAAGAATTAGGAACTGAAACTTTAATAATGAGCAGGAAGAGGGGAAAGAATAATCAGGAGGACAGTAGATAGCAATTGACATTGCATTTAAATTATTGAAAATTAAAGTTGGCTGGATAGCATGGAGCCAGAAGGGAGAAGTGAGAGAAAATAAACTGTTAGTATAGAACTTATAGTTGCATCTAGCCAGCTCAACTGTAAATTGATGAGATCTTGATGCCAGTCTAGTACAGTGCTTAAATTCAAAATGTCTAAAATAAGGATATTAAATGTATAATCCATAGGAAGAAATGTCTGAAAATAATGTCACTGTCAAAGTCTTGTTTTTCAACAAAACTGATCAGGTCAGTGTCTTCCTCATTTATTCTAGCCAGGAATTATTTGCTTTAGCATATGTATTTTTATTTTTTGTCTTGCATATAAATGTCAAATGCACTGGCTGCTGTTAATAAGGAACAGGTGTCATTAAAAATTGTGCTAGTTCAGGATTATGCAACAAAGAACCTTTTGCATTCTGCTTTTAAGCCAGCTAAAGTCATTAATGCCATATTAATTGGACTCTGTTATAGGCAATGATGTGGGAATAGAACACATGTCAAAAGACTTTGAGATAACGACTTGCTTACTTAACTTGAGGCCACGCAGTTCAAACATGGGCCAGAAATGCCGAGAAAAGAAAATAGCTTTTGGGTCGTCACTTCAAGTTTAACCTTTGCCTTGGAGGTTTGTTTTTTCAGATCACATTCTAACCTTATTTAACCATGTTGTCACAGATGGGAAGAGTCCAAGAAATTACCAAACTCCCATTGAATATTGCTTAGTCTTAAAGTTGTGTTCTTTCTAAAAAAAAAAAAAAAAATCTCTACAAAGCAAAGAGATAGATTGTAAAGTAGGAGGTCTGTTAGGAAAGTATCCAGCCATTTTGGATATCATGAGAACTGGTTGTGCAGCCTTGATGCAAACTAGCAACAAATCAAAGAGGACCTTACTGCGCATACATGAACATTGATTGATTCATTCATTTTCTACAGCTTATCAACCCTTTGTAAGTTATTTAAAGCCAGAAAATACTTTTTTTAGATTGTAAGATTTTTATTTTATTTTATTTTATTTTATTTTTTTGAAGTAATAATAGTTTAGTGATACAAGTCTTACTAATTAACCCATAGCTGGTGGGGGAAAGAAGAGGTTCATACCTTTCTCAAGGGTATTTGTGTGTAAGTGAATATAACAAACCCAGTGAGAATTGGAACTTGGCTCTCTGATTAACAATTTCAAACCATTATCCATTACTCCACCTGCATATCCAAACTTACAGCACCTGGTATTCACAAGTGTTCACCCATCTATGTACTGACCAGGTTCAATGATGCTTAACTTTGGTGATCATATGGAAACCAGTTTTTTCAAATGATGTATGCGTAACCTTACATGCATGAACAGCGAAGATACACCCATAATGTAAGTCAAACAAAATGTTGCGGGGAAAGCTTTATTCAGCTTGATTTGCAGTCCAAATATGGCACCAGGCTAATGCCTTCTATCTGTTTCAAAATGTACTTATGAAGATTGACATAAGGGGAGGTAATTAGAATAGTCTTTTATTACCACATTCTCCCTCACTGTCTTATTTATTCATAGTGGATAAAGTCTTCCCAATAACCAGGCATTCTTGTTGGCAGATCTTTCTGGTAAGTTTTCTCTAGAATCTGATGTGTCAGGCCTGTCTAGTGTTTGAAATTAGGGGTTTCAGCCTGAAGAGCTTTTGCCTTTGGCACTTAGGCTGTTTGTCTTCTGAAGAGGAGATATCAGTATCTAGAGGAACCAATTTCTGAATTACAAACCATTCCTTCAGACTAGTGTCACTCAGTAAATGTTCTAAGTTTGATGTTTCCAGGTGATCGATGTGAGATTATGGCAGGTTGATTTTTCACGTGTTTTTTTTTAGAAAATTAACATTGTGCTCAGTATGAAAGCTGGGGTTTGGTGTGATAAGTACTTATACCAAAAATTAGATTCATAGCTTCTACTAATTTTTGAACATTTAGTTTAAAGAGCATCTGAAAAAAATTTACAGAAATACCTAATCATCGCTTACATTTGCTTACAAACTGACTTCAAGAATTTACTGTTTTAATAATAAATCCAAATAAAGTTGATAGTTTTTTGTATTAGATACACTGAATGGAAAATATATTCAAACTGGAATTTTAATTATGAATCACCACAAGCAAAATATACAATTTTTTTACTGTATTTGATAAGTAAAAACTGTATACAAAAAATTGTAAAAGATTACCAAAAAGTCTACTCAATGAATAAGATTTGTTAGATTATAATTAATAAAAACAAAAATTAGATAAGTGTATATAATACTGCTGGACACAAATTATAAGACAAAATGTTTTAAATTTGCATTATTTATTAAAAATTGCACTAAAACTCCTGCACTGTATAATATATAACATCATAGTATAGCTAAATTGTTCAGCATAATTTCCCTTTGAAGTAAATATAGGTCTTATTTGATAGCACAATAATTTAGTAATAATGTGCTTGTGTCATGCAGCTTGTCCATATACAATTTGTAAAGCTACAGTAAATTATAAATTTTATAAGGCTGTGTTATAAAGCTTTCACTGATCGTTAGAATGAAATTCCAATGCTACAATTTTGAACTTAGTTTTAATCTTTAAACTTGTTTCCTCAAAAAAATGGTAAGAATTTTGAAAAAATGTTTTGTCATTATTTATGTAAAACCCCAACTTTTCAAATTGAGTTCAATACCACAGTTCAAAAATCAACCTGCTCTAATGTGAGGTGTGCAGGAAGCAGTCAGCAGGATTGTTCCTTAATGATGTTCCAGGAACAGGCACTGTGAGTTACGTTTCCTGAGTGATTACAAATTTAGATTCATTTCCTGCAGATCAGAGAGAAAGAGAGTATATCTTGTCTCTCATCTGGATATTAAACTTGTGCATACTTGGAGGTTTCTTGTCATCTAAAAAGTTGTGCTTACTTTGGCAGGTATGACATTTTAATAATACATTTCCTGTTTGCAAGAGTCATGAGGGGAGTCAGGATGTACCTGCTGAGCTCCATTGAGAGAAAGAAAACTTGTGCCTTCACATTACTTGTGAAGCATAGCAGTGTTCTTATGGCATATAAGGTCTCAGGGAGGAGACTTTCCCAATGGTTGACTGAACACTCATGATTAGCAGCAATCAAATACATAGAATTCCAAATTATATTGTTATACCTTTTATGCTACCTGTTGCCTTTAGGGTTGTAAGGTATTGTTCTACATACAACCATCCCTGTTCATGCAAGAGCTGTTTAACTCACTTTAGCATGAATACAGTTCTGTGGTCAAAATGGATGTACATGGGCAATTTAAAAACAGCAAAATGGAACAGAGGGCTTGAATTACAGTTGTTGCCATTACATCTTGGCAGGAAATGGTAAACGGAAAATGTGAATATTTGTTAATGATTGCTAACATGTACTTATTCAGCACTTTCAAAAGAAGTGGACACTTGATGTCCAAACTAATATTTAGTTTATTGAAATATTAATTATTTAATTACACATGTGAAAGTGGTATAACAGTTATTAAAACAATGTGTTATGGGATCCTCCCCTTTTTCATATAGGTGGACTCGACCAAAGTGTTACTTGGACTGATGCCGTTAAATACCCAGAGTCAATCTGAGTAGAGAGAATACAGAGATAGTAGAAGACTGTGATTGAGTTGGAGGTAAAGTAATAGTGTGAGGTAACTGCTTGTAAAATTCAGTTACAAGCACGTAGACTCTAAGGAAGTCATACTTCGAGACTGTGTGTGTGTGTATATATATATATATATATATATTATTGCTACTAACCACATTCCTGGATTTACTAACAGTATTACCCTTTGTATTATTGTGTAAATAAATTTTATTTCTTATATTTAATTCTTGCGTTTGTCATTCATTGGAGAATCCACAACAACAATGGCTTCCCTATGCATCACTACAAGAATCAACTGAAGCAGACTATGAAAAATGGCAATGCTAAGAGCTACAATTGATAGAAAGTTGTGGAGGAGCTTTGATCAACCATGTCCTAAATGGACAGGACATGAAAGATAGTACTGCTTTTATGTTCTCCTGGAAAAGAGGAGGCCATTTTTGCAATAATGAAATAAGTAATGTTTTAATAAGCAAAATATTGACAATATCAATATTCTTTTGCCATAATTAATTTTTCTGATGTTATTTTTGGCCATCCTGGTTATTTCCTGACAACAGATCCCAGAGGAAACGTTTATTTTGTAGAAGTCTGTTTGATTAGGTAACCTCTGTTTAGCAGGAACCTGGATGACCAATACCTTCTGAAGCAGGTGATCATAATAGTATACCTACTCAGTTTCTATCTATCTAGAATATTTCCAACCTCCCAGTCCTTGATAACCAACAGCATTGAAACCACTGTCATGAATATAAACACTCTTGTTCCAAATCGTTTACAGTAAATTCAACCCTGGCTAAAAACACTAAAGCTTCCCTATGTGTCATAAGAATTAACTGAAACAGACTATGAAAATGGCAATAGTACAAAAGCTAGGAAGTTGTGGAGATCCATTATTGCCCATGTCCTAAACACATGACACTTAAAAGATAGTATTGTTTTTATATTCTCCTGGAAAAGGGGAGGTCATTTTTGCAATAATGAAATAAGTGTTTTAATAAGCAAAATGTTGACAATAACCATATTACCATAATTCCCCATGTATAATATGTCTTCATCCATAATACACACACCTAAAATTGTGCTGAAAGTGCGGGAAAATGCTTCTACTTACAGATAATACTCACCCCTTGTTTGGTAATAAAACCCTATAAATTGTACCTCTCCAATTTCATTACAGCCAGCATTTCCTACTCTTATTTAAAAGAATAGTTTTAAACATAGAATAATATTATTCTAATTTAGTTTTATGATAGTTCTCATCTTATGGCAATTTTTTAAAGATTTTTTTTTTTTTTGTAGCTGTGCATAATACACGCTCCTGATTTTGCTTATTATTTTTCAGAAAAAATGCGTATTATACATGGGGAGTTACAGTAATTTGTCATAATTAACATAATATTCTTCTGATGTTATTTTTGGTCACTTCCTGGTATCAGATTCCAGAAAAAGATTGAGATCTTTCTGAAGTTCATGTCAGATCAGGTAACATCTGTTTTGCAGGAACATGGAGTAACAATACCTTATTAGGCAAGTGATCATGATACTATGGTTTATAACTTATTTGTGTATCCAATATATTTACATGTGGTGAGGTTTTTAGCTGTTCTTTCTCTTATAATTCCTAATAAGATTATAATGCCATTGATTTCTTTTTTTTTTTTTCTTTTCAATCATCATTCCTTTTCTAAATTGAGAAGTATCTTAATGGCCAACATATTGCATTGGAGGGTTGAGGGTCTTTGCATGATTAAACAGTTTCATTCAATATCACATATTTTTCTTTTTTTTTTTTTTTTCCCTTTCTTTATCTTTTACTGTTTTTGTTTCATTGGTTCTTTCCTGCTTTCTCTTTATTCTATTGATTTGTGATTTCAAAGAAAAATGGTTATTCTGTAATCATATTCTTTTTCTCTATTTAGAATTTTTCTTTCATGTTTACATTATTTTTTCTTTCTTCAATGTTTTCTGCTAATTTCCTGTTTTTGTCATCTGAGATTTTAAACAGAGGAAGAAATTAAGATTTAGAAATTGTGTTTATAATTGCTCTTTGTTATATATATAAAATATGTGTGTGTATATACCTCAGTGTCTAAGTATATAGATGGCCTTTTTTTTCTTTTAATGTGTGTGTATCCTGTAACTCATTTTGGACATCGAGGCACCACATATATTGCAACAATGGTGTGGCTTGGGCAAGATAACTTTCCTTCTCCTAGACTGGTTACCATGAAGATGAGAGAATTGTCAGCCCTGCTATTTAACTCCTAGCTGGGGAGAGAAGAGATGGACTCATACCCTTTCCTAAGGGTATTTGTGTGAAAGCGAATGTAACCAACTTAGCCTGCAGATTTCTCTTTTTGTGTCTGTTACACTATCCATTTAAAATATAATTTACCTTAAATGCCACAGGCAAGAAATTTTATTATTTCTTTGTTGCTAATTCTTTTTGCTTCATTATAATTGAGTGTGGGTCTCTAGATAGTGAAAAAGAACTGTGTATTTGTTTCTGACCTACAGTTTTTGGTTATTTCATTTTCAAGATCTTGCTCGTCCACTTTTTTTTTTTTTTTTTTTTTTTTTTTTTTTTTGTTGGTTGGTTGGTTGGTTGATTTTGTTTAGTGGCATATCAACCTGCTATAGATCATTTAATGCTGATTTCTAAATAATTTGAAC